AATAGTAGAATTGGGAGGAAGAATATAAGTATGAATATTGTTGTTTTATTAGTATGCAGCACATAAAAGTAGCATGTTCTAGGCAAATATTCAACTTTGTTTCTCAATTTATGTATTTTGGATTTTATATTAGGTGTCTTGAGATTGTTAAGAAGATCTGGAATAACAAAAAAGCATTCACAGCTGGCAATGAAATTCTAGGCTATTTGAATATATTTTTTTTATTTTTCCATTGAATAATATATTTTTTTTAAGCGTGACAGGAATACACCTAGTTACTCAGGCAATAAAAACTTTTTGGCAAAACAGCACAGAGAGCCTTACTACCAGATTAGCTGTCCAGGGTGGTTTTCAACATTGTGTTTAAAAAAAAACCCACACCAAGCTGTTTTCTGGAAGTGTTCTGGCCCTGGTTTTTCTTAGATAAATGGTCATCATTTCAAGTTTATGCTGTTTTAATAAGATGAATGTTGTACACTCACTAAGAATCAAGCAAGGCTGACTGCCTATTTTTTAGTCTAATGTTCTTAGTCCGGTAAATTTTTTTACTTTGCTTTTGGATTATCTTTTGCAATGAATAACAAAGTTTAAGTAGTAACTACTGCAAAGAATAAAAACATCATTTCATAGAGAAGTAATTTATCACGTGTAAAGCAAAGTCTCTAAACTTAAAAAAAAAAAAAAAAAGGATTTGCATGGGTGTTGTCTCCTTAATAGATGACTTACATTGTTTTCAGGTTTCTTCATAGAAGTCCTTTTTACCAGATAAATGCAATTCAGTGTACTAAGCTTTCATTAAAAGAAATTGTAAAACCACCAAGACCGCATGAATCCCCAGTTCAGTCCCACACTACACTTAAAAGCATATTATATATTGTTTTGAGTCTGCAAAGCCCAGTGGTAGTGTTTACTCCCTTATTCTGAGTTAGGTCCTATTCTTGTCACTTTTTCCTCTGGTGGAGGGAAAACCTTCTGGTACCGAGTGACCCATTAGTTGAAGTACAGAAGTACAACCTAAGCCATGCATGTGGGAAGCAAGCTTTGTAACATGCTTTGAGTACAGGTAAAGGCTCAGAAATCTAAAAAGCCCAGAGGCTGATTAACTTGTTCTTCTGTCGTTGGTACGGATGAACACAGTTTAATCACAAAATAAAACTGGGAATGTGCTGGTACTCTTCCGCAAGAGCTGAGGCCTCTACATTGGTTATGCGTGCTCAGCTCTCCATCTAGTGGGGAGCTGCTGGTTTTGCCTCCTGCATTAGGGCAGGCCTTGGCTGAAGCGAGGATACCCGGGCCAGCAGTGGGGTGTGGGCTCAGAGGGGTTAGCAGTACCCTATTCACATGTTCTGTTAGCTGATCATCAAAGGTCATCTTCATTTTGAGGCTAGAGCTGGTCACTTGGGTTTCTCCTCTCAGAAATGGTTCAGTAGATCTGTTTATTGCTTTCCAGACGTCACTCCTGGCCCACAAGGAGAAAAGATACTGCACAAAGCAGCTGTGAACACAACCTGTTATGGCTTTTTCGAACGGTCTTCCTCCTTACGCAGCAGAGTAAAGCAGCAAATGCCCTAAATTGGGATGTATATGAATGGTATACACAGCACACCTCCATCTGCAAAGGGCATGCTCCCAAGAGAAGGTCTGTGTGCATAAGTCAGTGTGACTTGCTTTTCAATATAAAAAAAAATCTGTAAGGCAAGTAAGAAGAAAACCAACAGGCTCCAGACTAATAGCGACTATGTCTACATTTCTCTTGAAGGGAGAGAAAATTCTCAGCCAGTACCACTTTGAACAAGTTGCAAGTAATTTCACTTGAAAATAAGTGGTCAAAATACTCTTCAGCCTTGAAAAAGAACACCCTGTATGTCACCATTTTGCTCTTCCTTTTCTGATGCTGTTGGACTAAGATGTGCAAGAATACTTGCATAGTGAAGAATAACATTATAATTGGGTCTAACCTCACTTGACAGTTTCTTACTGAGTAGTAGTGGCAAGGTGCCTTGAAACAAGACACCTCCTTCTGAACCTAGACAAGTGTAATAAGTATAGCAAGTGTGCATGCTCTCTATGTTCTTTCCTGTATTAAGGAATTTGATTTGATAGCAAGTACTTGCTGCTGTAAAACTACTTGAAAGAGCAGTGATGTGCTGTCACCCTGAGCTTGACATCCTGAAACCTTGTGAATTTCTTGAGGGATGTTTGCCTTGTCATCCAACTCAGTTTTGTTTCTGCAAGCAGTTAAAGAATTGAAAAGTATGAAGCTGCTTGGATCCAAGGTATGCAGCTAGATATGCGATCAAGCGAATGGAGTTTCCAACAGAATGGAGATAACAAAGCATAAAAGCCTCTGAAGACTCAAATGTTTGTCACGTTTTTTAAACATCAACAGCAGAAATGGAAAGAGTAGCTAAGTCTACTAAAATTCTGTGAATGCCAGTATCACTAAATGTTTCACCTTTTTTTTTTTAAAGAAAGTTACATAAGATAATTACTAATACCAAATATAAAATTTTCAGGCTGCTATCTTTCCTATGTCAGTTCCAGTACTAGGCAAATCCTTGTTGTTTGGTTTTGTTTGGGAAATGGTGGCTTCCTCTACAACTGTTGCTTTCATATTTAGATGGTTCTGACATTGTTTTTTCTCCCAGATTGGAACAGTGAAATGAGTGAAATCTTGGCAATGAGTATTTTGTTGCAGTAGGGCTAAATTTTTGTTATTGCAAAATCATGAATTCATCTCCTTGTAGGATTCAACAGATAAGAGCTTGTACATCCAACTTAACCACAAATCCCTAAGTAACCTAAGTTTCATGGGTCACTGAAGTATTCCAGGGCAAAAGAGAATGTAAATGAAATCAAAACATAAGCGATAATTTCTGCGTAAGCCAGGCAAACAATGAACCTGCTCTGAAGAAATGAGACAGGATGTCTGATCCTCTGTAGAGCAGCTGTTAATCAAGGTCACACTGCAAATCTCAAGCTGTAATGGTATGACTAGTTAAGGAAATCTCAAGTTGTAATGGTATGAGTAGTTAAGAGAGTGAATTTACCACATCACCTGAAGTTTCTATTTTAATTATGAAGTAAGTCCCTGCACTTCAATGAACTGATCAAAAGCATAATCACAAATTTTTGAATGATATACATTTTTCTGCTCATACTAGACTAGATTACTACTCGAGTAATTACTAATTAGATACTGTGTATCTAACTGTCTTACATGGTCTACATAAATGTCTTGACACTATAGTTGACTTTAAAGGAATTGGGAGAGTTGAGAGGAAAAAAAGGTCATCTGGAAATAAAAGAAGCTATCCAATGAATAGCCAAAGCTAGCTCTGACACTGTTGACTTGGAAAAAGCAGTACAGCAAAGATGCATGCAGTGCACTCAGGACTTGCTTGTGGTCAGCTTGGCTGTTACTGCTACTGAAATACCAGCATCTCTCCTGTAGCCAATAAATTATTTACATGTGCTGTGTTAGAGGGTAATGCAGGAAGCTATTTAGTAAGACAGATGACCCTCGTGGGTATTGGAGGTAAGCGTCCAGAGTGCCAGACACCAACCCTAGTAGACAGAGACCCTTATGCTGGACTATGTCAACCCACACTGAAGGCCAACAGCCATCCAACCTCTATCTGTAATAAGGATCTAGAAAATCCTCCACCTCTGCTCTTTTACAGTAAACTTGTCAAGACGTGGGCAGCTCCTTCCTGCTCCAACAGCTGCTCTGTCACCACTCCCCCTCCCAGAGAAACTAAAGGATGCTACCAACTGGGAGCCATCATAACTTACTTGGCCAGTTGTTTTGGGACTCAGAAATATCACCTGCCAGGTTAACAGAAGTCCATCCTATTTATGGATGAACCACCCTTCACTAGGATCCTGGCTTTTCTAAAGATTTAACAGCACTACAAATCTAAATGCATAAACACATTACAGAAAAAAAATGGGCAAAACAAAAATCAAGGCATTAGTTGTGTATTAAGCCAAAACCTTTGACTCGAGAAGACATCAACATCCCCCAGATTTTGAGACAAAAAGACTAGGATGAACATAGACTGAAAACTCATTAATAGTATTATTACCTGACTGAAATGAAAAAGGAGCTAAGGTAATTCACATCAAAGCTGGAATTACAATGTGAATGAGATCACCTCAAACCAAAACATAACCTCTGGACAGGAACAGCTATTGACGACACTCTGCCTTGGCTCTCCACGACCAGAAGAGCTCTCTGTGAAAACCACTCCAGCAAATCTCACAGTGAGACTCGTGTATAAGGAGGGGTAAAGAGTGCACAACTCCAGACTGATAAACATCAGAAGGGCCACTTTGATACTTTGTTGCTGTGCATAAGCATTTCAAGTTAGTCCTGCTTATCACATGACACCTTTACCTAGTAGTTGTATCTCATCATATAAGTAACCTGCACAGTATTCTCCAGCCACTCCAGTTTCAGAAGGTGTTTAATCTTTTGTAGTGCAGAATCCCTACCTGTCAGTCTCTCTTGTTACACCTCCAGTTCCAAAAAAACACTACAGATACTTTTGTAAAGTTACCAATTCATGTTGACCTAGAAAATAAAACAAAGAGCATGCTTGGCTTACCTTACTTGGCATGTGTTATGTTCTCATCACTTACCATTATCATTGCAACAAGCTCTCTTGGGAACACTGGTCTTTACCCCATCTTTCAGCACAGATAACTCTGTGCCCTGCTGCACCAATGCAGGAGAAGGGTCAGTATTTCCTTCAGTTAAGATTTCAGACTTGCATTTTATAAACAGAGAAGAAGGAAAAAAGCTGTTTTTCATTTAACATTCTCAGGGGCTGAAACTGACTATTCAAAAAATTCAATTTATTTCAAGTTACTGCTTAAGAAAAAAAAACAGGTCCCTGCAACACTTAAACCAAGTGGCTCATTCCAGCCTTTATTAGAATAATTACAACTAAAAGAAACATGGCAGTTATTTTTTAAAAAAAAACAGGTCCCTGCAACACTTAAACCAAGTGGCTCATTCCAGCCTTTATTAGAATAATTACAACTAAAAGAAACATGGCAGTTATATTTTTCACAGCAGACAAGCATCATAGGAAGTAATGGGCTACAAAGCTATAGCAATACAGTGGGAAAAAAAAAATTAAATAAACCAAAACCAAAGCTTGCTGCAGACATTACAGCTTCTTCTACGTGGAAACCCCAGCTTTCAGGACAGCAGAGTGCAATGCACAGGCAGCATCATTCTGTGCTCAGAGAACTGGGAGACTGTCACACCAAACATGGTATCACCTAACTGTGTCCTAAGCCAGAGTGAAAGCAGAAGGTGGGGAAATGAAGGTGAGTTATTTGTTTGGTTCACAGTCCTACTCAGTTCCCTTCTTTCAGCACAGCAGGCAGTTGATTGCCTCCATTCAGACAATGGCTGCACAGTCACTGAGCCATCTGGGCCTCCATTGCCTGCGCTGTCCATTCTGGGGCTGTCTGACTTATCTTCTCCAGCAGGTTGTTAACCTGGAAACACAGTGACTGAATCTGCTTGTCCCAAGTTGGCAAAGCTTCACGAGCTGAAAAAAAAAAACAACCAAAAAAAACAACCCATACAAAACAAAGTAAGTTAGCAATTCCCTTGCCTTTTCAACTGCAACCTTTACTTCTGCCACTGCCCTCACCTACCTCACAGAGGAAGCCTTCCTTGCAGCTACATCATGCTCATTTCTGTATTCAAAAACTACAATGATTTAGCTTGTAACCAAGCCTAACTCCTGCATTACAAAGTAGAACTGAACAGGTGAACCTGTTCCTACACGGAGACTGACGGAATAAATTCACGCTTTTCTGTAGGTAAGAGAATGCATAGTACAGAGGGTGGGTGAAGCATGGTCCTCCATTAAGGCAAACTCTGCCACCTCCTGGCCTCAGCAAGACGCAGCAAGCTCACTTCAGATGGAAGATATCAAGAAACTTAATTTCCTTATCCTGTAAGGCAGCAACTCAAAAAGCTTATTCTGAACGGTGCTAAAAAAAAAAAAATTACTGTGGTCGAACTTACTCTCAAAATGAACAATTCCGTCAATTTGATCAATGAATCCATTCATGCGACCCTCAGTTATCATCTGAGAAGCTATCTTTTCTGCCTGAAATAATGAAGAGAGAAAGATGTTAGAAACTTCTTCCATTCTGAAAGAAGTTAAAAATAATTAAGACTTAATAGTCCTTATGGGTTTTTCAACACCACACATTGCGGGGGCAGGGGGGACGACCTACAGACAAGATTAATTATTAAATAATTAGACATACTATCAGTGGCATCTAACTCCACTGTTGTTCATTCCACATCATGTACCTTTCCTTCTCATAAGATGTGCTAGATATTTAGCCTTTCTCATAATATGGAATATTTAATTATTTCCTAATATTGAACTAATTTTCCTAATATTTACCACAGCTGTTTTCTAATGTCTTTGATGCTCCTTGTTTTTACAAAAGATGTAGAAAACTGATACCTTAGCTGCAGGGATCTCTAGTAATGCCCCGAGCTCTTCAAAAGTAATGTTGTTGTAAAGTTTGCTTGCAGATAGTAAGTTGTGCTCAATAACAGCTCTGTCCAGGATACTAGAACCTTAGGGGTTAGATGAGAAAAAAATCCATTACTGTAACATTGAAATACTTGGTTTATATTGTAGAGCAGATGGAAAACGCTTTTTTTCCCCAAGGGTTACGTGTGCAGAAGGTCCAGATGCATCTGCCTTGCATCAGTGTTTTGCTACGCAGAAGAAAGTAAACAAAAAGAAATGGATGGCACATGGTTTATTTTAAGACAGGTAGCTTAAACCCTTTTATTTAATTTCTAGAATAATCAAGTGGAGCCCTTGGTTTTGCTACAAGACAACATCTGAATTGAGGGAATTCAACCTCCTGTGATCAGTTCCTAGCTTGCCAAATGGAAAGACCATTGCTTTTTTTTTTTTTTATTCGTTACAGCTCTTAGGGGTACAATTAACCTCTCTCTTACTCTGCTTGTATGGTGATAAACCCTCATCTAATTTCTCTCTTCTTAATTTAACAATTTAACTCATTTGCCCCTTAACCTCTAGTTGAAGATAAGCATATTATTAAATACCAACTAACCTGCATTCTTCAACTTATACGGACAAACAGTACAGGTTATAAATAAACAACAAATTGACCCAAGGAATGGACTGCAGCGTATTGTTCGTAAGTACCTTTAACCAGTTTTCACCTTTGCGATTACACAGTTGTTTATTTGTCCTTAATCAATGAGTAGTGTTCACTAGGAGAGTTTTCCTGATTAAGAGGTATTTCATGCTTATGTATTTTTCCACTTCAATATTCTTCTAATTTAGAAAATTGAGACCAGTGCGTTTATGATTCCAGTGAAGTCATTACTTCACATTATTTCTCACTGTTCAGAAGTTCCAGGAAGAACAGAGCTAGTAAGATGTCAGTGAGATGGATCAGAAAACAATTTGGAGATGGTGTGAGGTCCCAGTCATCCCCTCACTATCTGTCATCTTTCCTGCCAAGTTAGGAAGCAGTTCAAATAAATTTATCATCCGCACAGACCATTTACAGCCTACATGCATGTCACGTGTTTCTAGGCATCCTATTTATAACAGTGCCTTAGAACTGGAGAAGCTCAAAAGGACAGACTCAAAGTATGAGGCAAGGTTAGAAATACTGGGAGGTTGTCAGTGAAGAGGACTGTACGTGGACAGAGAAAAAAGATTTTTACAAGTTACCTTCTGGAAGAGTATTTCAAAACCTTAATAGCCAATCAGAAAGATGAACTATGGCTAAGAAGCTTTACTATTAAACTATACTCATGAGGGTAACATGCTGGGAAATAATTTTAAAATAATCATATAAGCAATACTAAATTCTTTTCCATCACACTTCTTGACTGCATTGGGCAAATCTAACTCCTATGGATGAACACCTAGCATTACGAGGCTTCAGAGAAACACATACCATCAGCTGTAGTTGCTTTCTGGTGAGGCATTAGCATAGCTGCAAACTCTTGCAGTTGATTTCCACGGATAATTCTGTCAAGATACATTTTCTCCAAGATCCCATAGGCTGCAAGCTGCTGGCATCTCTCATCCTTGAAGAGTGTAGCAAGCATGCGAGAACGCTGTTGTCCTAGGAGAGTCAAGAAGAATCCTCATAAATTATCACCAAAGCATTGACTATTTAGAGGCAGGCAACAGAAAATTATCATCTTTTTTTCTCAATACATGCAATTAACCAACAAAGCTCTACCAAAGAAGGAACTCAGTTGTGTTCAGTTCCAAAACACTCTTTGCCACTGACTATCTTTTGCATCTTTAGCCAAGATGCCACTTTATCACTGGCAAAGACACAGAAGTAATCCAACTCTGAGTTAACAGTATGCCAACAGGTAATTTTGACACGGTGTTCACAGTTTTGGATTCCTCACCAAATCTTAGTGACAAGATCCCTCCTCACAAGTAATGCACAAGCTGACTTGCTTCAGGGGATATGAAATACCTACACTGGGTCTTTTATACAAAAATGTAACATGTATTTTACCTGCTGATGCCAAAATAGTACAATGCAAAGCATGCTTCAATGCCTCCAGTCGCTCAGTTTCATGGACTATGCTCTTATAGGAGAGCTCGTTGTATCTTTGGGCAGCCTCAATGAACTTTCTTCTGTAATCAAGAACCCGAGCATAGCAAACCTAGAAAGAAAGTATGTCTCAGAAAAAGAAAACTAACAGGGGTGGCTGCATAATATAGGGGTGTATAAATTGCCACATTATCAAGTGACAGCTCCCATAAATATTGCTCTACTGCATCCCAGGGAAATCTGTGCCTTCGAACGATTAGCTTGACTTGTAAAGACCTTGCTAAAGTATCATGGAAAGGAATTGAAAGGGCATTTCCCAGCACTATTTCACATGTTAAATATTGCAAATGTCTAAATGCCAGAAACTAAGTAAATGAAATATTGTACAGCTGATATTGTACTTACATAAGCTTCCCCTTCACTACTGAAATTGACAGCTAGCACTTAGGTACCAATTTGTGTTTCAAGTGTTTGCTTTTCCCTTTCAGCGCTGTAACAGCATCTGGTATTTCTTCTCTCCCTTCCTTTGTGCTTTTCTAATCCTTACAGAAAATATTTACACTTCCAACTGAGTGCACGCTTTAAAACATAGCATGGGGGGAGAAAAAAAGAAAAGGGAAAACCAGCAAACCAAAACCACCACACCCTGAGTTACAGCTCATGGTACACCTGCTTTGTATTGTAGAATTTTAAACACCACCACACTTGATTGGTACTGTCACACTATAGTTATCACTGCTCATCCCAGTTACTAAAATGGTTTGAGAAATTAGTGTATGAACTATGTACACAGTAAACCCACAAATAAGCAGAAAGGTCAGCAGTTACTTTACTACTTGAGACTTACAGCTACTTTTATAGATGGGACTTACTATTTAATTATTATTTGGGGGGGGGGGGGGTTGGGGGGGCTTCCATTGTCCCTAATAATTGGATGTGATTTTTTTCCCCTCTTAGATTTACTGACAAAGGTGGAGGCAATATTTTCAACAATATTTCAGATGTTTTGAAGCCTAAGTTTTATTTTCAATCAGTAAAACTGGCATTTAAGGAACCTTTACAGACTTATCTCCAAACCATAAGGAATAAGCTGTTTAATTATTGCCAAGATATGGCTCTCAAGCTCCCAAAACCATTTAGAAGCTTTTCCCTTTGTCTCTTTTCTCATTATGAAAGTTTTAGTGGCATTGCATAAAAACATCTCAATGTGGAATCATCTCCCTTTAGAAAGAGAAAGCAATAAAGCAAGTTAGACAACCTTATAATGGATTTGCAGCTGTTCATTAGTTGATTCATTCTGAAGCAGGGAAGCTCGATTAATATAAGCTTCTGCTTGAACTGGGTCATCATCCTCCAGATACAGCCTGGCAATTTTCAGGTAGGTCTCCAGTTTATAATCTACATTGTACTGTCTGTAGAGAAACAGAAAAGCAAGTGCTCAGAGTTGCTCCACAACTACCCTTGCTCTTAGCTGTTCTAAACACATATTATGATTCTTAAGCACTTGGCAACGTTTGCTTTACCCTGCTTTCTTCTTCCGTAACACCAAAATTAGTGCTCTCTGTTCAGGGTAAGGAAATTTGAGATGAATGCCAATATAGAACTGGCTCCTACAAACACCAGTAGAAATAATGCTGTCCATGAAGATACAAATGTACACTCTAATAATCTGTTTTTAGTGGATTGGAAGTTTGCCATAAGTGGTGAGCCACTTGAGTTAAGAAGCAAACTTGCAGTGGAACAAATAGGTTCTAAATAGGCAAAACCTACAGCAATTCCTTCTACATGCACACAGAGAAAGAGGATAGAAAGGACAGCCAGAGAAAAGTAACAGCAAGGGTTCTAGACTTAAAAAAAAAACAAACCAACAAAAAAACAACCCACAAACAAACAAAACCCCACAGAAAACCTCAACTGTATTTGTTAATATCCAATTTCAAACTAGGTCTTCATTTTGAACTGTAAAGGCAAACACATGGAAGAACGGCCACCTTTCAAGAACCTTTCAATAACCTTAGAAGCATTTTTGTAAAATACTATCAAAAAGGCTGTTTATCAACAAGACTAATAAATAGTGCAAAACTTCTGGTGCAGTACTTTGACCCCCTACACTGTTTACTGTAATGTACAGTCATCAAGCTATACTTTGGTCATCTGGCAGTAGTTCTGGCCTGAACTACTGAAACTCTGGGAAAATACGCAACCCCAAAATTCTCACTCGCTGGTCTAGTTAAGTACAAAGCGAGCAAGTATATTTAACAACACAGAACTGTGTATAGCACAGTACTTACTTTTGCCCTGTTTCCAAAGGGATCCCCACCAATACTTGTGCTGCATTTCTCCAGTCTTCTTCTTTCTCATAGATTGATGCAAGATGTTGCCTTATTGAAGCAACCTAAACAAGAATAAAATCAATAGCAAACACTATAAAAGTTGAATGGTTCTGTATTAACTTTCACAGTATTTGTTCTTGTTCATTAATCCCCTCAACCGCTACCCCAGCTTCACAGACACAGCAACCTGCATGCATGCAACTCTTCCCATGCGAGGAGTCCTGTGTGGGACTCCTGGATCAAGCTTTAATACCAAGCTTTTTAAATATGAGTGCTGATTTGAAGCACTTCTACTTAAGCTTGTGACAAGATAAAAGGAGTTTATCTTCAGGGAGCGATAAGTAGTAACCTTTTATAAAGCTTTTAAAAAGATGAAACGAGGCTTTCAAGAACTGGAGCACCAAGATTCACAAGCCATTTCTTGCAGTTATACCTCGTATCATGCCTGTGAGATATCTGTTTTGAACAGCTTTTTTAAAGACTTAAAATAGTCAGTAGATAAGGGGGAAAAAAAAAAAAACAAAGCCAAGCCCGCAAACCAAATACCCCTCATCATTGATCTCTCACCTGCTCTTCAAATGAAATAACTCTAGGCTGTATCTTTTCCAAGGTGAAGTGGTAAATTTCTTTGGCTGTGATGTCAGGAAGACTTGGAAGATGGGTACAGAAATCTGTCAGCAGCTGACGTGAGATCACTAGACTGACATTCTCGTTCACCACTGGTTCAGAGACACACGGAAGAAAAACACAAGATGGATGCAATGCTTGTCAGTGCCTTCACTGTAAGTGATCATTTGCTTTTATCTTAAATTTGAATATTTCAAGTTTTTAAATCTGTATCCAAGTGAAGGGGTTTTTTCCTTTGTTTTTAAAAGGTGATTTTTTTTTCTCTCAGAAACAGTTTGTTTACACTAGAGGTCACCAGAGTTCTAAGCCCTGACAGATAATAATGAATTTCTCACTTTGATTTATAGTTTAGAGAGATGTTTCATTCTAAATCACTGTTCTCAGTTGCTGAAACATCTTGGACAAAGTAAACCTTTAGGCTAAATTTCACTGATTTTATTCTCAACTTAAAAAAATTACACTAGATTTATACATTTTATAGAGGTATTCAATAAGCCAAACATCCAATACAACACAAAAAACCCTAACCATTTCTTCTTGACAGTTTTTCAAAGTAACTTGAGATGGAGGAAGAAGGGGGTTGTTAGTTTAAATACCGCTTGGCATCCAGTATCAATTTTAGCATTCAACAGAGACTACTTTGTTTTCACCTTCCAACACCGTCACACTGACAGGTTGGAAAGTTATAATAACTTACAAAGCTTACAAGTCCATTCGCCCTTTAACTTCTGAATGTGGCAATGATGGTTCCTCTTCTAGTTGTGTTTGAATTCCGATAGGACCAAAATATCATATATTTATGCAGCCTCATGTAGAGCTAACAAATACACAATCCCACAGACCTCTGGCCTTCACTCAGTGTGCAACCGATTATACCAGATGCACTTACTTGCTTCTACAAAAGCTTTCAAAGCTTCAAGTTGTTCTACACCCGACAGCTGAATGGCTTTTTCCAGTATTTGACGATATCTGTCCACAGATTAAAAAAAAAAAAAAATTTAAAAAATCACTCTTAGGGCACATTTTTTCACTAACAAGTTCTGTTTCTCTATTTATTTTCTATGTCAGAGCCCTACTTTTGCTTATATTTTCTATACATTTGAGGTGGCAATTTTCCAAAGTGTTTGTACTCAAATGTCAGGAACATTCACCTGGAATTGGTATCTGGCTCTTTTTAAATCCCAGGACTAGATTCTCAGATAACACAGCTCATCATTTTGTTATCTGTGAACATATGTGCAATTCTGAAGGTTAAAAAAAAAACAAAACAAAACATGTCCCTAGGATAGTGTACAGAAAAAGTAATGAAAACTGCATCGCTCATGGATTAAGATTAATAAACTCAGTCAAATGTTCAAAATGCCATATTCAATGAGAATGAGAAGCAGTGTTTGGAGTGGGAGGTAAATAGTATGTTATGGCCACTTGACATGAGCACAGGCACAGACCATGCATTTTTAAGTGTTTATTCCTGCAAAAATAGCAACTCCAGTTTTCATACTTCATAAAGCTAATTAAACTTTGCCTGGGACATAACCTCAGTGTGTGCAATACTGACGAAGTACTACATTCACGTTGAAGCCATATTTTGAGGGGAACATTTCCACGTTTTTACATGAAACTCCTAGAAGTGAAGCAATTCCTCTAGAAAATAAGCAACTGGACTGGAACTCGAAGAATTTCAGTTGACTGATTGACATCTGACTGAACCCTCGGGGGAGAGAAAATCTACATGACACATTGCACTGTGAGTAGCTCAAACCCCAAGGTTTGCCATCCAAAATACCCACCTAATGAAAATAATAATAATCATAATGATGATGGAGTTACTGACATATCTACAGCAGCCAAGGAAAATAAATTCCCCGACCCGTAAATTTCACGCAGCCGACGGGCAGGCAGCCGAACTCTGACGGGCGGCAGGCAGACACGAGGGAGCTACGGCGAACGGCTAAGGCCCCGCGCGGGAGTCTGCGCTAGGACACCACCGACACAGAGCAAGCCGTCGTTAGAAACGACAAATAAATAAAAAATGACAGAATCATGAGGTGAAATCTTCCTTTCTTCTTTTTATTTAAAGAAGCGCGCGCGTGTGGCAAAAGCCGCCTCCCCCGCCCAGC